CCCTGTACTTTCCTTCAATGAAACTCAAATACAAACTCTTAGAAACGAGATAGGTTCTTTTGTGCGGGGGAATTTAAAAATAAGTATTAACGTTGTATACAATACAATACAGCAGGGAGGCCTTGGCATGATTGAAACCGAATCATACATAAATGGAATTAAAGTGGGTCTTTTTAGGAAATCGATTAACAATAACGATTTTTGGGCTAGAGAAATCCAACAATATAGAATATAAACAGATTTTCCATTTCACTTTAAAAGTACAATAATTGCAAACACTCCTTGTGGTGAAATGTCAATTTATGCAAGGAAATTCTGTAACGTTTTTTGGTCGGCGAATGGTAATTTCCTAGATATGAGAATATTTGATAATGACATTGCACGATTAGAATCCGGCGAGAAATTAGGCATGAACCATTTCAGAGCAAATCTCACACCTGAAACAGCTTTCTTGATAAGGAAACTGAGATTTGTCAACTTGGTAGACATTTTCAACAGCGAAATTTTCTCAGAAAATAGTGTAGCTTTATATCTCGGTTTCCGTCCTAATCCTTTAGAAATATTTTACCTAAGATCTGTACATAGGAACGTTATGAGAAAATTTGCTATGAACAAAGATAAAGTATGTACCCCAATCCTCACCTTTTATAGAAAAATAGTTAAGGGTAGTGTTAAGATAAGGAGGATCATCGACAATATTAAGCATGAAGTTGTTTCTGGGTGTGGACTGAGAAAGCGCGTTGCACTGGCACAGAATTACAATGTAGATCCCGAGAGAGATTGCAACTTTTATAAGATTTTCAGAATTTCAAAGTTACAAAATAATCTGAGAAGTTTCATTTTTAATTTTACAGCACAAACCTTATATCACAACGCAATGATCGCACACTTCGTCCAGAATCATGACCCTACCTGTCAACGGTGCGAGTTTGGAAACCTTAGGCCTGCCCCGAGAGAAACGATCTCTCATATCTTCTGGGACTGTCCCAAAATAAGCGAGATCCTTCTTGACCTCAACATCATAATATCGAACGGAACTTTATCACAGGAAGAACTTAAAAGTGTAATATTTCTAGGTTGTAATAATCCTTTAACCTTCAATATCGAAAATACTAACATCATCTGTTTCATAGTTATGTATTACATATTCTCTACAAGAAATTCCGGACGATTTTACAATACCTCCAAGCTAAAGCAATTTATTTTTCATCACACTGAAAAACTTAATAAACCATTGTTTAAAGAATATGAACATGAATCTTAATCTCTATTTCCTTGTAATGTATAGTTTCATTGTAACTGGTGCCCTACGGTGGGGTATAATAATTGCAACCTCCGCAACGCAGGTTTTACCAAACCATACCAACCTATTACCACTCATGCTGAATCAGCCATTTTGTTCCGAATTAAAAAAAGGAATTTCAAGCATTTGGCAGCGCAAGCTTAGCCAATCTCATATTAGAGTAAAAAAATCAATAGTGTCCACAATAATATTCGTACGGAATCCATCACTCGAGGATGATTCTGATGAACCACGCAACTTAAAGCTAAGTAACAGCCCACGTTATGAAACAAAGGCAACAAACTTAGATATTACTCATTTTAATATAACCTTCTACAAAAAAATTGGCCTCTTCTTGTATCTGGATAATCTGGAACAAACCGTGGCGTCCTACTGAGGACGAACTAAAGTTAAATTCTCGAGAGATACTTTAATAAGTAATCTCAGAAACATGCGTAATACGCAAGAAATACATGACGCAAACCAATTGAAATGGTTTGTAAACAGTTCCGATAAAATCAATTACATTAAAATCATAAAATATACTTTCTTTATGATTATATTTTTCAGAGAAATGTCTAACAAACCTGTTCCTATGGAGGTGGAGGAGGCTGGAATTGACGACTACATGCTGGACTTCCAGGGATGCTTGATAGGTTGGACAGCCCCAGTGAGGTACAGGGTGAGGGTGTTGGGGAATGTGCTGGGGGGGATTTAGTTGTGAGGGAGTCTGGTGTCATGGGCAGGGAGGGGGGGGCCGAAGGCGGCGATGCTGAGCCATTACCCGTGTAATTTTTACCTTCCTTTCATTTTGTAAAAAATTGTAATGTAATGTAATGATTTCTTCCAAAAATATAATGTCCGACACATGTCCGACAACTCTTAACTGCACATTTTTGATGCCTCTATTTAATCCAGTTGCAAATACTCCTCATAACATTAATGGGGGTTTTTATTTTTTTAAGAAGGATAAAAAAGAAAATGAACTAAACAAAAAAAAGAACTGTTCTTTCATTAATGAAAATAATTTTATATTTCCGGCCTTGCAAGATTTTTAAACTTTCACATATATATTGTTAAATCTCAATTTTTGTAATATAGTTAGACGAGAAACCATCTGACCCTGATCGCTGGAGCTGGTTGAGACAAGGAATCGCTCACTCGCTGACATGCGGATCTATATCTTGGCAGATCTCAGATTTGCAAGTCACAACGCAGATAATAACGTTAAACCGAGTCCTGGAAGATGAATGAGCAGCAAACCTCAGAGGATCCGGCGGATCCCATAGCTACATCTCTTAGCGGAAAATAACGGTAAAAATTATATTCCCATAAGTCCCCGAGAAGACTAGCTGATTTTCATTTCATCAATGAATTTTTTAATATGTTTTATACAGAGAGCAGGGGCGTGCACACGGATCATTTTGGATTGTAAAGGTTGAAACCCTATTGTAACAAAACTAATGTACATGCTTTTAATAAAATTCTAATAAAAATGCAACTTAAAGCACACAATGTCAGTTGTAAAAGTTTAATGTCTTGTTTATCTTTTATTCTTTAAGTTGATAGTTCGAATATAAAACCTCCAAGATCTTAAATTAGTGTAAAACTGAAGATCTTACTCAATTAAATGTTTTAACTTAAGACTTGAATTCCAATGATATTCGAAATTCCGGAATTAGAACTATTAGAACTTTATCAACATATTTATCTTTAAATAAATTAAATGTCTTAATTTAAGCCTTGAATTCCAATGATATTCGAAATTCCGGAATTAGAACTTTATCAACATATTTATCTTTAAATCCCGAGAGCCTTGAAACTAAGGGAAATAGAAGATCTTTTTCTTCCTTTCTTTATGGTTTTCTCTTTACCTAGTTAAACTGAAACCTGTGAGAGGAACGAGTGGCGAACCTCAGAGGATCTGGCGGATCACATAGCTACACATCTCTGCAGAAAATAACGGTAAAAAATATATTTCCATAAGCTCCCGAGATGACTGGCAGATTTCCTTCATTCTCTACGAATTTTTAATCTTTTTTATACAGAGAGCAGGGGTGTGCACACGGATCATTTTGGATTCTAAAGGTCGAAACCCTATTGAACCTGAACTAATGTACATGCTATTTAATAATATTCTATTAAAATTTCAACTTAAAGTATACAATGTCAGTTGTATAAGTTTAAAGACTTTCTTATCTTTTAATCTATAATTAGATACTTCAGATTTAAAACATCCAAGATATTAAATTAGTCTAAAATCGAAGATCTTACTTAAATAGTTCAATGTTTAAACTCAAGCCTCGAATTCCAATGATACTCGAAATTCCAGAATTAGAACTCTACCAACATGCTTAATTATAATCCCGACAGCCCTGAATTTTTCCCTTCGTCATGGTTCTCTCTTTACCTAGTTAAACTGAAACCTGGAAGACGAATGAGTGGCGAACCTCAGAGGACCCGGCGGATCCTATAGCTTCATCACTCAGCAGATAATAACGTCTGAGTAAACTGTAACGCCTCCTGAACCGACAAACCTCACCGCCGAGAAACCATGATGTCTCAAGAAAAGGGGATAACTACGCTACATTGATATCCCAAATTCGTAGCACAATATGGACGAGCACCTTATCTGCTCTATCTATATCTATCCGCTATACCTTGATGATTTGAGAAAAATGAAGAGATTAAGCCCTAATCTCTTTTCAATGCCCTAGACAATAACGCAGAACCATCAATGTTCTATGTGAGTCTAGTTCTTAAGTATAATGTGTTTTCTTCCAATTGAAACTAAATGATTCTCCAATATGCTATTTCACATTTAACACTGCTTAATTTTGGTGTCTGCTATCTTCACGTTGGTCGTGTAGATTCTTAACCACAGAGAGAAAGAAACATGCGGGAAGGAACCATCAATGTTCCTTGCCAGTATGTTTCCTAAATATATCGTTTTCTATATTTACGTTGGCTAATTAGCATCAAGACTACATAGTTTAACTAATGTAATGCCATACCAACGTAGAACTTTCAATGTTCTTTGTTAGTACAATCGTAGTTTTTTCCATATAGTGTACATTGACTTTATACCATTGTTTCATAAAAACTGTATAGTGCTTGCGCAAATTGATTTTCTTCATAAAATGCCCAAATTATATGCAGACGATTCGTATATTAAAAATTTCTATTTTATTCGCATACCCTCTTATCGTCAATGACTAATTATATGCATTTTAATTCTCTACGACTTCACTGTTGCACTCTTCAATTTATATGTCTTGCAGGACCTAAGTATCCTTAAGTCCAAATTTCTAATTTAAGAAATGTACGTATTTAACCCTGATACAGATCTATCAAAAAAAATGTAAACACATGTAAACAATTTTGTATTTATTTCACAAATCTAAAATAATGTAGACGAATTTGTCGATTACACGTAAACTATTTTGTACAATTTAAAAAGACAATAAATATTTAGATTTCAAAGAATATATGTCTACTGAATCTTCTGAATATATGTCTACTGAATCTACTGAATATATGTTTACTGAATCTACTGAATATATGTCTACTGAATATACTGAATATATGTCTACTAAATCTACTGAATATATTTCTACTGAATCTACTGAATATATGTCTACTGAATCTAGTGAATATATGTCTACTGAATCTTCTGAATATATGTCTACTGAATCTACTGAATATATAATAATAATTACCTGTAGATCGTATTGGCAATTAAGCTTTATATCTGAGCCAGCCCTGTAATAAAATTTATAAATTTCAATTATTCAATTATTTATTTTTCAATTATCATTATTATCTGATCGTGCAATTTGCTCAATATTTCTGTATTATAATAGATTATCATGATATTTTATAGATTCTTTAATATTTAAAAAAGTGTTCATATTTCAATTCATTTTCTGAGAAAATACAGAAACAGGTAAATAAAAAAAAAATACGTGAAATGAAAAATTTAATAAAAAAAAATAGAAAGCTATTTTTTGTTATGCATCAATTTTCATTTAATCCCGCCCCTTTTGACCCATTTCAGACTAAATATATAAATATATAAATATTTTAAAAAGAAATGTCATTTACTCTCAGACAAATTTCCATTGATTTTTGCAGTTCATTACCAGCTCTTTACAAATGAATGTCATTTACTATCAGAATTAGGAAATGATATTTATTGATGAAATTATAACTCCCCTCGGTATTCAATGATAAACCAGATGGCGTAAAATAAATGTTTATGATTAAACATTGGTTTCAAACTTTTAGAACTAACAATTTTTAAGAAAAAAACTATTAAAGTTTACCTTGCAGCATCGGGCAAAGACAAGTCAAGAATAATGACTGTTTCACTAACTAAAAATAAATCTTTATTAATTTTTTTTTGTAAGAAATTTCCATAAAGGTTAATTTCATTGATGTTTTCTGTCAAAATAATGAAACCTTTTTTGCGAGAAAACTCAGTCTTCCTGTTAATATTTGATACGATTTAGTATCGTGGAATTTTAGAATTACTTTCTGTTTAATTTAAAATTCAGTGATGGTGATAGACCAAACCTCTGTAGAGTAAAAAAGTAGATGTTAGTTCCACATTTATTGAAAATATATTTCGGTCTGGGTTGACCCTCGTCATTTCTAACGAAGATATACAAACAAAAAGATTATTCAAAATAAAAATTTGGGCTGTCAAATGGACATAAGGGAAAAGAACTCAGATTATGAGATGGAAAAAAGATAATTTGCAAATATTCACTTTCTAAAAAAATGTTTTAAGACAATTATTATTCCTTGAGATTGTTTCTTTCTTTCTACAGACAATTAGCGTTTAAGTCTTTACCATAGATAAATAAATAAACATAGATAGCTTATGTACGCAAAATCACCAAGAATTGTTCAGTCCGCGAACTCATACTTCTAGGGGTCAAAGTGTACTTCAATGAAAAGCGGGGTGGTTTGGTGTTTTAATGGATTTCATAATTATTAAACCTCTCAGAAGTGAATTTTATTTTGAGAATATCAAATTATTTCACTGAGCAATATATCATATTGACGAAAACTGAAGAAGGACATGAGAAGGGCTAAACCAGGGAACAGGAATATAGGGAAAGGAAATGGCGCTGGTCCGGCAAGAGATAACCAGTCGCACTGCTTTGCAGACCAGTACAGTAAACTTACAAACACTCTTCTGGTACAGACACACAACATGACTACAGTCAAGGAAATTGTAGAACAATGTCGTCGATTATAATTAAACTTGAATAACGAGTAGTTTATTGTAAACTTTAATCAAATTATATTCTTTGCATGAAAATTTGGCTTTACAGTGTTGACTTAAATATGTAAATAATATATTACATGTATATTAAACTAATTTCTAAGTAAACAATTAACAATAAACAAATATACTCTCCTAGACTGTACAAATACCGAGATTCTTACGTACTGTATAAACCTACAGTACACACCTTCGGTACTTTAAACTGACAAACACTCTTTTGGTACAGACACACATACATGACGTTTCCGCCCCCAACTAACTTAAATTTCTTTTTACAGAACTCATGTACACCACAAGTACTCAATGACATTAGAACAGCCAATGTTTACAACCGACCTAGTTATTATATATAATAGGAATATCTATAAAACATCTCTATACATTTATTTCTTTCAAGATGAAAAATGTCGTCTTATGCGCAATCTATCTTTATCTATGGTATTTACAGTTGTTTTACTAGACCCCAAGTTTTCAGAAAAAATAAGATTATTTTTTAAGTGATGATTCTGGATTTCAGTAACATCTTTTAGCTGTTATATGACTAAAATATGTTTCTTATTCATTAAAGGGACTGTAGGCGTATTATTTAAAGGGACTGTAAGCGTATTCTTTAAAGGGACTGTAGGTGTATTCTTTAAAGGGACTGTAGCGTATTCTTTAAAGGGACTGTAGGCATATTCTTTAAATGGACTGTAGGTGTATTCTTTAAAGGGACTGTAGCTTATTCTTTAAAGGGACTGTAGCGTATTCTTTAAAGTGACTGTAAGCGTATTCTTTAAAGGGACTGTAGGTGTGTTCTTTAAAGGGACTGTAGCGTATTCTTTAAAGGGACTGTAGCGTATTCTTTAAAGGGACTGTAGGCGTATTCTTTAAAGGGACTGTAGGTGTATTCTTTAAAGGGGCTGTAGGTGTATTCTTTAAAGGGACTGTAGGCGTATTCTTTAAAGGGGCTGTAGGTGTATTCTTTAAAGGGCTGTAGGTGTATTCTTTAAAGGGACTGTAGGCGTATTCTTTAAAGGGACTGTAGCGTATTCTTTAAAGGGGCTGTAGCGTATTCTTTAAAGGGACTGTAAGCGTATTCTTTAAAGGGACTGTAGGTGTATTATTTAAAGGTACTGTAGCGTATTCTTTAAAGGGACTGTAGGCGTATTCTTTAAAGGGGCTGTAGGTGTATTCTTTAAAGGGACTGTAAGCGTATTCTTTAAAGGGACTGTAGGCATATTCGTTAAAGGGACTGTAGGCGTATACTTTAAAGGAACTGTAGGCGTATTCTTTAAAGGGACTGTAGGTGTATTCTTTAAAGGGACTGTAGGTGTATTCTTTAAAGGGACTGTAGGCATATTCTTTAAAGGGACTGTAGGCGTATACTTTAAAGGAACTGTAGGCGTATTCTTCGAAGGGACTGTAGGCGTAATCTTTAAAGGGACTGTAGGCGTATTCTTTAAAGGGACTGTAGGCGTATTCTTTAAAGGGACTGTAAGCGTATTCTTTAAAAGGACTGTAGGTGTATTCTTTGAAGGGACTATAGGCGTATTCTTTAAAGGGACTGTAGACGTATTCTTTAAAGGGACTGTAGGTGTATTCTTTAAAGGGACTGTAGGTGTATTCTTTGAAGGAACTGTAGGTGTATTCTTTAAAGGGACTGTAGGCGTATTCTTTAAAGGGACTGTAGGCGTATTTTTTAAAAGGACTGTAGGTGTATTCTTTAAAGGGACTGTAGACGTATTCTTTAAAGGGACTGTAGGTGTATTCTTTAAAGGGATTGTAGGTGTATTCTTTAAAGGGACTGTAGGCGTATTCTTTAAAGTGACTGTAGCTTATTCTTTAAAGGGACTGTAGGTGTCGTGTTAAGTGACCTTCATTTCGTTTCACAGCGGTACCCTTGTCAGAATTCAGCACGACAACATCTTCTGCATTGTTACTCAGAAAAAGCTTAAAGTGTACTGTTGAGAAACATTCCACATTAGAAGATCACTTGAAATTACATATACAGTCTCTTTAATAAATTTACACCGTTTTCTTACTTTTATTTTCTCTGTTTATATATTCCGATCAAAGATATACAAAGATCAGGTTGGAATGAGATAGACGTGACGAGTCTATTTTAAACAAATGCATTCAGACATCAAAATAAAACAATTCATCATTCATAAAACCTTCCATAAAATATATACACGTTTAAATGTTTATCATCAAAATAAAGTTGTATAATGTAACATTATTTAGATGTATGTATGTACCTGGGTTAAAACAATGAATAAAGAGTGTTTTAAAAGGACTCTAGACGTAATTTTAAGACTATTAAAAAGAGTGTTAATCTATTCACAACCGTTCCCTTTATAGCTTTATTTTAATAACAATTAGGACGCTTGAAAAATGGGTTTTTGTTTCCTTCATTGTCTCAGCAACATAAATCCGTAATTTTATTTAACAGAGAAAACGTTTGAGAGAAAAATAATGAAATCTCTTTCATCCTTGACCAGACAGAGGTTTAAAGAACGGAAGTTCGCATGAAATTAGCGAACGGTCCCTTTAAAATGAAATTTATAACGATCTAAAGAGTAAAGGTAATAACAAGCAAAGGCTTAAATACATTAAATAACGACTGTATCTTATATCTGTTTAACCTGATGTTGTAGACGTTATGTGATATTTCAAACTATGAATTCTTATAGATCGCAAACTGCTATGAATTAAAATTGCAAAGGTTTCTACCATTAGGTTGTAAGAAAATAAGGATTAGAAAATTAAAGTTTGAGTCAAGTAATTTTTTTCTCTTTTTTGTGACATGTAAAAAATATTACATACTGTACAAAAACTTTAGCCAAAAGTTTTTTTTCTATTTTCAAATAATTTTTGAGATCAAAACAATTTAAATTTTCTACTTTGAACCTAACAGATATTAAAAAAATCCCCCTCCCCAAAATTCCCTCATATCTCTAGTAATTATTTATTACCTTGTAGGACGAGGGAGAACAGGAGGAGAGTGGGGAGGGGGGAGGGGAAATGAGAAGGGGGGAGAGGGGAGGGAAAATGAGAAGTGGGGAGGGGGGAGGGGAAATGAGAAGGGGGGAGAGGGGAGGGAAAATGAGAAGTGGGGAGGGGGGAGGGGAGGAGGGAAGAGAGGGGGGAGGGGAGATGGTTTCCAAAATTCTTCATCATGTCTCTCCTATAATACAAAATATATTATAATAAAGGGTTCCTTATATTTGTATTATCTTTATAATTTTCATGTGTGATTACAATTTTTATGATCAAATGGTAAAACCAATTTTTTTAAATATTTTTTTAAATTATCATTTTAAATTTTGTCTTTTATAGCATTCTAAAACTTTTTTATTTTGTAATTTTCGTTTCTAAAATAACATTTTCTAATTGTTACTTTGCTTATTATAACCATATCTAACAAAGCGTAACAAAAGTATTTTTCAAATAAGTTGTTCATTGCACAATTTGTTTTTGTGTTTCATTTTTTGCGCCATTTTCTTTAGATTTTTGGATTAAACCCAGCGCAGTGTGAGAAAATCATTGATTTGTTAGTTAAAGTTATATTAGAACTGGTTATATATATATAATATAATATATTAGAACTGGTTATATATATAATATAATATATTATAACTTGTTTTATCTTGTTTACAAAATCAAATGTAAACAATGAAATAAACTTCTATATCTATATACGGACGCAAGAAGTTCAGAATACAGGGCAAACTCTAAAATAAGTTTCTAAAAACACAGTAGTCGGTGTTTGTAGTAAAAATAGAAAGCCTTTGATTTCTAGAAAGTTTTTAAAATTACAAGTTTACAAGTCAACATTTAAAGAATATGTTAATTTACAGTTTCTCTAGTTTCCATGTGTATGTGTTTCCAATCTGTTTGAAGGCTTAGAGGAAAAATTTAAAAAGAACGTCGTCTTTATTGAATAGATATATACAACCAGGAAAATATTTTACTTTAAACGTTTCTAGTAAAAGAAAATTAAAAAATTATTTATTTATGAAATATAACAAAAACATACAAAATTAAGTGTTTCGGGAAAAATATTTAAAAACCTGTATAAGTAGAGGTTGAGGGAATATTTCCCCCTAATTCTGTAAAAAAATAGAAATAAAAGGAAAAGGAAAGGAAAGGATAAGGAAAGTTACATATTTATTGTTTACACTATATTTAATAAAAATTAGTGGTGGATTGTTAGTATTTTTCGACGATGAACTAGCAACTTTTAGAAATAAAAATTATAGATTTATTTGTAATGTTAAAAATCTTTATGGAGTGTGAAAGAGATATAGGTTTTGTGAAAAACGGGCATTTTTAAGCATCTTTTTAATTCGCGCTGATTTTTGACATCCTTTATGTTTGATTATATCTTTTACTCTTTTTAATTTTTTTATTCTTTTCTTTGTAAAGTCGTCTTTGCTTTCTTCGATTCTTTTGCAAACATAGCATGTGCTATGAATTAAAACATTTGTTTTGCTGATAAAAATCTTCTATTAAATTCTGTTTAAAATTCGAAATAATATTGATATTTGAAAGCTTAAAAAAGTGTCCAGTGCAGGGATCAGTCCAATTTGAATAGAAGTTTCTATTATAGTATTCAATTAATTTAAAATAAATTTAATTTTCAGTTTTACAAAAAAACAATTTATATTATTTTGAATATGTTGTGTTTTGAGCAAAAGATTTCGTGGATTGTTTCAAATATATAAGAATGAGTTGAATTATTTAATTTGAATTTAATTCGAAATGGGCTTTTTACAATGTTATAAAGAAAGAAAAACTCTATATAATATTTAACTTTTCGAAGCATTACAATATGTTAGAAATATCTAACAAACATTATTTCAAAATGATATCAGTGATATTACGTACACAGTGTTAGAACTTTAACTAGCAAGGATCTTAAAAACAAATTAAAAAAATTGTTGCCACAAACTCTGATTTTATAATCCTTATATATTTTCAACCTGTTGTCGAAGATATTAATTTAATTAATTAGTCTAAGCTTTAAATATCAGAGAAATAGGGATTATAAAATTTGAGTTACAATAACTCAGTTTCTTAAAATTGTATTCAAAGTTTTGTTACTCTGAAAATAATTTGTATAAAACTTATTCAATATGCGTCTAAATGAGTCTAAAAAAAGCTATAAATACCTGTTTTTCTTAACTCTAAAGAACAGCCAAAGCTGAAAGGTTATTTCTTATGCTAATTGTTCCTCTCTTTTTCTCTGAAAAAATTATCAGCAATCACATTTAGTAATAGAGAATAGAATATATAGAGAGGAATTAAAAGAATCTCTCTGTATGAATTTTTTGCAGTCCCTTTCAGCCTGAAAGGGAGTTCAAAGTGTACAAATTATGTAAATGTTCACAAATTATATTCAGTAGAGTACATTAATACAGTATGTTCCCTAGACTATCCATTTCAATTACGAATTTTTAAACTGTTAAATAAACTTTATAATGAATTAGGTGAATAAAAACATCATTTGATTTATAGTTATAACGGAAAATCATCGTTTGTAAAGTGAAAGGCATAGAGTCTATGTGAAATGATCATTGGTCAATTATGAAACCAGCCTATTTCACAATTTGGTTTTCTTTTAACATTAATTTTAGATTTTCTATAAAATGATATTCCAGGGCCCAAAAGGTTATATAGCATAAATATGTGAAGTACACCTGCAGTATGGAAACAGTACAACAAAATGGTCGTTTTAAACTTTTTTCTAGTAAATTCCTCTCTATAGATTCTATTCTCTTTGCATTTAGTGTTGTTTGACTTGCAAAAACGATTAGAATTTATTTGGGAAATTGTATTCTCATTATTTTTTATTTTTTATTTTATTTTTATGACTTTTCCAAGAAGAGGCTAATTTTGAAAATTTGGCATCTTTTATCGCCAAAACTCTAAAGACCCACTGTGAACTAGGAAGAAGGAGAAAGTCGAATTTATGCGATATTACTGGTACAACTTTGTGACCTCGTAGATCCCTCGGTTTGGATATGAACACGTTTGTGAATAGCATATTTAGCAGTTTACACATTTGCAATTCAAAACATTTTTTTCTTCTCAAAAGCTCTTTAAAACTCATAAGATGAGTTATAATTGAAAACATAGAATATTTTAACCCTATCCCTGCTGGGGTACTTGAAAACCTGGATATGCTGGGGGGGGGTCAATTTGACCCCCCCCCCTCTAAATCCCATGTTTTATGTCCAAATATGACAAATGATACACCATTAGAAATCTCTTGTGCTCTACTTTAAGAATCTGCAAAAAAATTGCAAATTTGCAAAAATTGAATTTTTTATCGCAAAATCCAGTTATATTGTAAAAATGTTTGCAAAAAAAAATTTGTCTAAAAAATGAAAAATTATACATTTTTGAAAAGCCCTTGACCATGCCATTTGAAATATGCAAATATTTTTGCAAAATTTTAAATAACCTGATTTTTAATGAAGAAAAACTAAAAATTGCAAATTTCCTTTGACAGGTTGTTTGCAAAAAAACTGCAATTTTTTTTCGCAAAACTTGTGCAATATTTAGTCTTACAGGGAGTGACCGGCAATACAAGGTAGTTAAACTAATAATTTAGTCTTACAGGGAGTGACCGGCAATACAAGGTAGTTAAACTAATAATTTAGTCTTACAGGGACTGACCGGCAATACAAGGTAGTTAAACTAATAAAAGGTAGTTAAACTAATAATTTAGTGTTGTTGAGAAATTTTTTATGATTCATATTTGAGACACATAGTTATAAATTTTCCAACAAAAGGCTAATTTAAAAAATTTGGCATCGTTTATCGTCAAAAAAATTTTTATATCCCTAAACACCAACGAAAGGTTCTTAATCTTAATCCCTTAAACAAAATTTGTCTTTCTTTTGTTTGCTCTGAAAAATGTATTTATTTCAAATGGACGTAGAAGAAATTTAAAACCATAATACATATTCCCTATTAACAAAATTGTTTTGAGAAATAATTAGTGTTATTATCCTATTTATTTAGATTTTTATGAATACTCCAATTTATTGCTCTTTATTTAAACTTTAAACAATTCAGTATTATTTAGCTGGAAAAAATAAAACTGTAATAATAAGATATTAAAATGTTATTAAAAGTTATTTTTTCTCCATCATAATTCTTGTTTTTTTTTTCTTGAATGTTGAAGGCAAATTTTTTTTAAAGGACCGCATTGCATGGCCTAAGATGACTATTTTTATGTTGGAAAAAATGTTAATTGTAAATAAGTTGAAGAGTTAAAGGTGTAGCAAGTTAACCCTCAAAATATAAATTTTTGATGCTGGAGGTCTAGGGGTCTTGTATTTAAGGTTAAAAGGGTCCAATTGCGAGCGAACGTACATGCCACATTGTTACATTAAATTACGCCTGTGAATTAAAATTATAATGTTTTTTTTTTAGTGAAAAGGCTGCATAGAACCAAAAAACGTTTAGAAACATTTGTCTCGTCTTTTTGATAAACTTTTTTCATATTTTTTTCGGACAAAATTTTTACTTTTGGACCTCCCCCCCCCACCCGTGTGTGTTACAAATTAGAGGAATTCCTCTAAAAGGTTTATTTTAAATCATTATTCATGCTTTATCGTCATTCAGGATGTAAATGCAGTACGTAGAGAGCAATAAAATATGAATAAGGATAAATGTCCATGTATCTCTTTTACAAAAATTCAAATGTAAGCAGGGGACAGAAACGTCATGTATGTGTGTTTGTACCAAAAGAGTGTGTGTAAGTAATACCGAACCGAAGGCGTGTACTGTAGGTATATAAGTACAAAAGAATCTCGGTATTTGTACAGTCTAGGAGGGATTTATACTATTTACAGACTGTCATGTCCGATATACAATCTTAAGTCTGGTTTAGGAAAAATGTTCTAATAATGTTTATAACTAATTGTGGTTCCACAGATTTATGCTGCAGAGACAACAAAGGAAATTGTAAGAATCAACCCTGGTCATGACAATTTAAGTCCAAAGCGTGCCCTTGTGAATCGGATGACACTTGTTTAATTAAGGGTCACTGTAAAATACATCTGCTGTCCCTTTGAAATGCAAAAAAGTAACATTTAACAGTTCTTTTAATTGAACCCAGTCTAGTATGCCGAGTCCATTAGCGCCTGATCCAATCAGGGTTCAGTCATGTGTTTGTTGTCTATTCTGAACCAATAGAAATAGTATGGCGGTTATATATATATATCTTTCTATCTATCTCATTATCCAATTAGAGATGAATCCTTCAATCGGCGCTATCAGCAAATGGAAATATTTACTTCTACTGAAACTATAGTGTTAACCATAAAGTCTACAGTCTTTTGGAGTGAAACTTAATGAGATTGGCTATATATATGTAGCTGTTCATAACCCTACTTCCTTGTTCACATCCCTGTATCCTTGTTCATATCCCTGTATCCTTGTTCATATCCCTGTATCCTTGTTCAAGAAAATTATAGAAGTTATACGGTTGGAAAGTTGTACCAGAAATTCAGCGTAAAGTAAACTCCTTCCTGCTGTGGAGTTCAGAGGGATATTGACTGGTGGTATTCTCATTGTAAAAATATTGTGAATACCTTGAATATTTGAATGCTAGAAAATAGTACTTTAAAGTTTAAACTTTAGATATTTAGATTAAAGGGATTGTCTTTTAAACTTTAGATATTTAGTTTAAAGGGACTGTACTTTAAACTTTAGATATTTAGATTAAAGGTACTGTCCTTTAAACTTTAGATATTTAGATTAAAGGGACAAAGAGAAAAAACGATGATATTGAAATTTTTAAAATTCCTCTAAAATCCTATTCATTGAAAATCATTCATTTTAATGTTTTTTGCAATATGCATATTTCGAACAAAGCTGCAGGCTTTAAAGAATTTGAGAAATTTAGAATTTTTTCCTAAAAATTTCAAATTGATGTTTTCTATAAGAAAGCTAAATAATAAAAAGTAGTTTAGTTTCTTTTTCTAACTTTTTATCATATGTTAGTTTCTTCGCAGTGACTGGAATTTATTATAAAAGCTTAACCAACATTTCTCTTAATTATACCTAATCTTAGATGGAGAGTCGGGCAGCCAGCGTGAAGGAGAAAGTGCTGAAGTACGCGGAGAATAAACGGAAGAACATGACCTTACCGGATGTGACGATCCCCCCACCACCCCTTCCTCCAAACTATTCCACCATGATCTACCCCAAATACGCCGACAAGCTTAAGATTGGAGTTCCGGCGGAGCTGCAGATGAAGGAGATTGGTCTGAATTGGAGGAATAAAGAAGCTAATAACACAAATTCATAAATCCATAGTTTTTGCAGATTTATTAAAAGTTTATTTCTATTTCTTCGAAATCACGTTTTTGTACTTTATCTGTAACTATAGAGGGAGACCAAGCCACCCTATACCTATAATTATATTTTAAGTGTATAAGTGTTCTTTTGTTTTTAATAAAGTATTTGAGAAGAAGAAGTTTCTTCGCAGTCCTTGAAACTTGTACACAGATTGCTATTCATATAATGTTGCATATCCATTTTAACCTGAAATACGTCGTCACTGATATACCATTTCCGCCTCAATTATAACTTGTTGAATTTCCAATATTCAACCGGATAAATGAATTGAGTCTTTGTAACAAAATCTGATTTTCTAATATCTATATTTTTGTCCACCTGATGGTGTAAACCTCTGATATTTCAAATTTAGATTCTTTTATCTAGCAGAAATATCTAAGATCTACGGTATTGGGTTGCAAAAATATAGAGATCAGAAAATCATAGTTTGTGACGAAGACTTATTAGGCAATTCCGTAGCTTCTCTCGTATTAAGAGTACAGAGGAGCTAATAGGTCACAAAGCACGTGGATTTAACGGTTCTGTCAATATTTCAGAAAACTGTGACTTTCAATCACACTTTGACCCATTTTACATAATTTTAAAGCCTTTTATCTTAAATACTTTTTTGTTGGCATATACATTTTGAATGAAAAAGTATAAAATCTGTAAGTCTGAAGACTGTTGAGTTATAAAAGAAAACACGTTTGATTTCAAATGAAAGAAACCTAATGCCTCTCTCTCTTGTTAGTTCAGGGTGAAAGTGCCATCTCCATCTGTCTAGTTCACTGTGAATGGGCAGCCATACATGCCATACAGTCAAATATATTTGCCCAGTAAAAGAAAAGATGAACCTCGGCAGCAAAATTAAAGGAAATGCTTATTCAAAATAATTTGAAAAATTAATTTTAAATTTCAAATATATTGTTTAATCTTAGTTTGTTTAAATCTGGGATTGTTTCCGAATTATCTATTGTGCTATTAAATTTTCCAAAATTTACAATATACAATTGTTTCTGTACGTCCCTACTACTATTATATGTTTTTCATCTTATACGATACTGAGTAGTATTTGATCCACTCAAAAATACACAAAATATGAGAAATTTTATAACAAATACGAAAAAAAAACACTGTCATATATGTTTTTAAAAATAGTTGTTTTCTGTTGTTTTATTTTCTATTCTGTTCTGTTCTGATCTGATCTGATCTGTTATACTCTGTTTTGTTCTGATCTGATCTGTTATATTCTGTTCTATTCTGATCTGATCTGTTCTGTTCTATTCTGTTCTGTTCTGATCTTATCTGATCTGCTATATTCTGTTCTGTTCTGTTCTTTTCTATTTCTTTCTTATCTGTTCTCTGTTTTGTTCTGTTCTGTTCTGTTGTGTTCTGTTCTGTTCTGTTCTGTTCTGTTCTGTTCTGTTCTGTTCTGTTCTGTTCTGTTCTGTTCTGTTCTGTTCTGTTCTGTTCTGTTCTGTTCTATTCTGTTCTGTTCTGATCTTATCTGATCTGCTATATTCTGTTCTGTTCTGTTCTGTTCTGTTCTGTTCTGTTCTGTTCTGTTCTGTTCTGTTCTGTTCTGTTCTGTTCTGTTCTGTTCTGTTCTGTTCTGTTCTGTTCTGTACTGTTCTGTTCCATTTTGTGGTCTTTTCTGTTCTGTTCTGTTCTGTTCTGATCTGTTCTGTCCTGTTCTGTTCTGTACTGATCTGTTCTGTTCTGTTCTGATCTGATCTGATCTGTTATATTCTGGTCTGTTCTGTTCTTTTCTATTCTGTTCTCTGTTCTGTTCTGTTTTGTTTTGTTCTGTTCTGTTCTGTTCTGATCTGATCTGTTCTGTTCTGATCTGTTCTGTTCTTATCTGATTTTTTTCTGTTATATTCTGGTCTGTTCTGTTCTTTTCTATTCCGTTCTGATCTGTGATCTTGCCAGGCTATATTTGTTGGATTTAATTAGAGATTGACTTGAAATACGTTTACAGTTTCTTTAATTAGAGATTGACTTGAAATACGTCTACAGTCTCTTTAATTAGAGGTTGACTTGAAATACGTCTACAGTCTCTTTAATTAGAGGTTGACTTGAAATAAGTCTACAGTCTCTTTAATTAAAGGTTGCCTTGAAATACGTCTACAGTCTCTAATTAGAGGTTGACTTGAAATACGTCTACAGGCTCTTTCAGCCTAAAATTTGATAAAACTCACCGTTACTGTTTACAGGACAATGTGCCGCCGACTAACCTCTTCCGGCGGTGGTTAAACATGCGTCCCAACACTTACCATCCCATCCTCGAGAATTAACCTCAAACCGTCCTCGGAGCATCAGCCTCCCGCCTGCCCCGGCCTCATCGGACTTTTCCTAATCCTAGTTATTTGTTTAACAAAAATCTCAAATTATTCCCCCATCAAAGATTTTTGTACAAAAGCGCCAAAAAAATGGCAGCGCTTCCGATAGAAATGTTTGGTTTGTGAAGCCAAGGTACAATGATTTTTGGCAACTAGTATTACACTTTTTCTTATACACATACATTATATAAAAGTACATAAATAATCATTTTTTTCTTTGTTATAATGTTTGTTTTTAAACCAAGAGAAAGAAAGAAAACATATTTCATTTTCAAAACTGTAATTTTTTACTTTTTACGATTTCCAATTCCAATTTAGGATCATAAAGTTGTTCAGATTTCTATTGTTGGTTTAAACTATAAAAACCTTTTTTTAATGCATTATACATGCATCTGAATATACAATGAAATGATCATTGGTCAATTATGCAACCAGCCTATTTCATAATTTGGTTTTCTTTTAACATTAATTTTAGATTTTCTATAAAATGATATTCCAGGGCCCAAAAGGTTATAAAGCATAAATATGTGAAGTACACCTGCTGTATGGAAACAGTACAACAAAATGGTCGTTTTACACTTTTTTCTAGTAAATTCCCCTCTAATATATATTCTATTCTCTTTGATCGGAAACCTGGTTAAATGAATGGGGTGGATACTAGTATTTTTGTTAAGAAACATTATTGCATATTTACTGGGACTATCAACCTTAGATCAACCAAACGACCCATAACTGGGATTATCAACCTTAGACCAACCTTGAGGCCCCTTTTGAGCTCAACCACAAAAGTTTAATTTCCACGAAATCGTCTTCATTAACCAATTAATTAATCAATTTGTGTAAAATAACAGCATTTAAAATTCTAGAGATTTTAACCCTTTTAAAAAAAATGCTTATTTGACAACCCTTGCATACTTTTCATACAATTATCACTCAAATTTGAAATTTAATTTGAAATAACTTTTATTGAAGAGCTTTGAAGAAAAAAAATGTTTTAGATTTCTAATATGTATTATATAACAAAATAATTATCTTTTCTCATACTTGTGCGTAAAATCAGAACTAGAGAAGCTACGAGGTCCCAAAGTCGTGCTAGTAATGTCACTTAAATGTTACCTTCTCCTTCTTTCTATCGTTCACAGTCAATTTCTATGTATTCGTCGATTTGTAGTGTCATAAATGTAATTAAAATGGAAATAAGAATTGATGCAGTAAATATACTAAAACAAGATTAAAAAGTGTTTGCAAACTAAAAATGCCTGTACACATGTATGGGGGAGGGGTTCAAAATAAATTTTTATCAAAAGAATTGAATGTTTTGGGTCATGTTTTGTTGGAAATTGAAACTATGAGATGGAAGCCAACTTACTTATTTTATTGATTTTATTGTTTGTAAGAATAAATTAGTCTTTTCAACTTTTAGTAAAATATTTAGATCTTTGGCTCTCGTACTTCTTAAAGACCAGCTTGCAACTCCTTCTGAAAAAGGTATGCTCCGGTGATTAGTTAGTTTGGAGTCAGATATATATCTACTATACTAGATTATCAGGGCGCTTCGCGCCCATCCTCAATTTCCATTGTGAACATGTTCTCTTTGTGTACATTGTAAAACAAAAATAAAACAAAATCTCGCGGATTTATAAAAAATTCTTTGATTTTCTAAATTTTCAAAACTCAAATTTTGTAAGAGGCAAATTTTTGAAAATTTAATCATTAATAAACCTTAACTTGGGTAAGGCGAGGTCACATAAAAAAAATTGCGCCCGATCGGTTTCAGCAGTTTTTCCGTTTCTTGAATACAAACAGACAGACAGGCAAACAAACACCAAGACAAGCAAAGTACATATATATAGATAGTGAAGGGGTGTTTCTTTTTTTCAGTGCACATTTTATAAGAACTAAACCAAATGTTTTGATTAAATAGATATATGCAAAATGTATAATTGTTGCCAGTCTAACAAAGTTACGAAAAACGTAGAAAAATAGTGAGAAGTATAGAGGGACAGTATACGATGTCAAAGCCATGTCCAAGTATAGGGGGACAGTATACGATGTCAAAGCCATGTCCAAGTATAGGGGGACAGTATACGATGTCAAAGCCATGTCCAAGTATAGGGGGGCAGTATACGATGTCAAAGCCATGTCCAAGTATAGGGGGACAGTATACGATGTCATAGCCATGTCCAAGTATAGGGGACAGTATAAGATGTTAATGCCATGTCCACGTATAGGGGACAGTATAAGATGTTAATGTCATGTCCAAGTATAGGGGACAGTATAAGATGTCAATGCCATGTCCACGTATAGGGGCCAGTATAAGATGTTAATGTCATGTCCACGTATAGGGGACAGTATAAGATGTTAATGCCATGTCCACTTATAGGGGGCCAGTATAAGATGTCAATGCCATGTCCACGCATAGGGGGCCAGTATAAGATGTTAATGTCATGTCCACGTATAGGGGACAGTATAAGATGTTAATGCCATGTCCACGTATAGGGGACAGTATAAGATGTTAATGTCATGTCCACGTATAGGGGACAGTACAAGATGTTAATGTGATGTCCACGTATAGGGGGATAGTATAAGATGTTAATGTCATGTCCAAGTA